AATCTGCAACCTGATTGTGTCGCCCTGGCAAGTACGCTGCCCGCAGGGTGGACAGGCGAGGAGAGGCCCATTCCAGGAGCTCTCTGGACACACTCAGAAGTTGTGCTGACCTGGTGCCCCCCTGATGGTTGATGTGGTAGACAACAGAGGTGTTGTCCGACCGAACAAGTACATGCCTCCCTTCCAGGTGAGGCAGGAAGTGCCTGAGTGCCAAGTGCACTGCACGCAGCTCCAGCACATTTATATGCTTGGAATGGTCTCTTTGACCCCAGCGGCCCTGAACTGCTCTGCGTTGCCATACAGCCCCCCATCCCATGGAGCTGGCATCCGTTGTGACCACTTCCCTGCGACACACTACCACTCCCATGGGGACACCCCTGGACAAATAATCTTCGTCCCTCCATGGAGTCAAGGCATGAAGACATGACCACGTCACTGCGAGCTTGCGATGCCTGTGCAGCCTGGCATCCAGGCGAAAGCTGTTGAGCCACCTCTGCAAGGGGCGAAGTGACAGCAGGCCTAAGGGCACCACCCGAGTGACTGATGTCAGCTTGCTGAGTAGTTGCAGGAAGGCAACATAGGGGAGCTGCTTGCCCAGCCTGAACCGATTGACCAGCTGGAGTATGCCGGCCACCCTTTGAGCGGATGGGCGAGCTCTCATTGAAGATGAATCCAGAACCACCCCAAGAAAGGTGGTCGTCTGGGAAGGGATCAGGCAGCTCTTCTCCAGGTTGACATTGAGGCCTAACTGGGACATATGAGCGAGCAGGCGGTTTGTGTCGTGAAAGGCACAGGCCTGAGACGGGGCGCAGAGAAGCCAATCGTCTAAGTACGGCAGAATCTTCACTCCGCAGGCCTGCAGAGGAGAGAGGGCTGCCTTCACGCACCGAGTGAACACCCTTGGGGAGAGAGAGAGCCCGAATGGAAGTACCCGGAACTGCCAGTGGTGACCCCGATAGGCAAACCTGAGAAAGCGGCGATGTTCTGCCGCAATAGGCACATGAAAATATGCATCCTTCAGGTCTACAGACGTGAACCATTCTTCCCTTGTGACAGCTTGAAGGACTTCTGCTGTTGTGAGCATGTGGAAGGGCAGCTCCTTTAGGTACTGGTTGAGTCCCCTCAGGTCTAAAATGGGACGAAACCCGCCCGTCTTCTTTTGCACAAGGAAGTAAGTCGAGTAATAGCCCCTGGGTTGTTGCAGAGGGTCCACTGCCTCTATTGCGCCCTTGGCCAGGAGGGCGGAAAGTTCCTGGTCTAGTGCTTGAGCTTTCACCGGGTCGGCGATTACAGTCATCTTGACCCGGCCTGAGATACGAGGCCGCCGTCGGAACTGTAGCCGGTAACCATGGGTCAGAGTGGCAACCACCCATGGGTCCACGGCGTGAGCAACCCAATAGCTGAGCTGCTGGTGGGAGAAATATCCGACGGTCGGCCTGATGGCATCACCGTCTCCCTCCACGACCCCTAGGGGCCGTGGGGGGGCGGCAGCCAGAGTCCCTGGTCCGAGCCTGCCCAGCTGGTCGGTGGACCAACCCACGAGAGCTCCTGCTGGGCCTTTGCTGAACCGCATGAGGGTAAGGACCACCCGGCCGGTTATGACCCCCAGGCGGCGGCTGCATGCTGGAGCCAGCCGACAGGCGCCTTGGATGCCGAGGAGGTGGAGGGGGCATTGGCCTGCTAAGGCTCGAAAATTGCTGCCTTCTCTGTCGTGCCTGGACAGTCCGTTCCAGTGCTTCCAAGGCAGCCGAACCGAACAACTCCCCCGGCACCACTGGGCCATTACGGAGGGCTCTACGGCATGGCTCAGTCAACGCTGACTGAGCTAACCAGACCTGTCGGCGAGCTTGGACCAAGGAGGACATCACACGCCCAAGCTCCCTCGTCATTAGTGCAAAGGCCTGAAGCGCTGCATCGTTAAAGCCCATCGCTGCTGTCGCACCACTAGTCCCCTGAAGGGACGCGGAGAGGGCAAGCATTAGGTGTGCCAAGGAATTACCTAGGCGGCCAGCACGCGCTCCGGCGGCATAGGCTCTGCAGAGGAATTCATCCGTGACACGACACTGAGCTCGTGGGCACCGAACATGACTGCGCAGAGCTTCATCTGGTGACACGATGAGAGAGGCAACAGCAGGTTCTATCGCTGGCATGCGATCCAAGCCTGCTGCAGCCGGCTCATGCATGGCCGCCAACACTCTGCCATCTGCAGAGAGGCGCGCAAAGGCCTTGGGGTCCCGCCAGCAACCATGCAACTCCCTCAGGAACTCCTCTGATGGAGGGACAGAAAAGGAAGGAGGGGTCAGTCCGCGCCTGAAGAAGGCACTTCCAGGGGTGGACGCCTCTGGTTGCGGGACGTCCAGCTGCAGTTGTCTCAGGGCCATACGCATAATGTCCTGCATCGAGCCGTCACCCGACCCACTAACTGCACTCCGAGAAGAAGAGAGTGAAGCTGTCTCTGAGACTCGAGATGAATGCCCGTCCTCCTCACCTAAAAAGTGAGAGGCAGAGGCAGCCAAGGATAGCACATCCTCCTCCACAGCCAGTTCAGGCATGGGTGGGGAGGAGAGTCCAGTTGCTGCCACTGGTTCAGTTCCCAGTTGGTGTACCTGAAAAAGGGACTTCATCTCCGCTAATTCAGCGGAGAGCTGCTCCACCCTTGTGGAGAGGCCCCTATCAGACCTGGCTCGCTTCTTCCCAGGAGGGGCCACAGAGACTGCGGCCTCAGTCCGGCGCTTCAAGCGCCTAGGTGGAGCCTCCTGCCCAGAAGGCGGGAGGTCATCGCCGAGTTTGGGGCGAAACTGGGCCAGCCGGGCCGCCCTCACAGCATGCGACATGAAGCTGCAATTCATGCAGGGGTTCTCTGACAGGGCATCCACCAGATGGTCATGTCCAAGGCAGGCAGGACACAGGTCGTGACCGTCATCTATCTGGAGCATGGCTCCACAGACTGTACAGCAGTGAGAGCCGTCCATGCTCCTTACCCAGCTATGCCCAAGATATTCAGAGGGGCTAGCACCACTAGCTCAGCTGTTAAAAGAGGACAATTGGGAGAGGGGGCGCGAACGCTCGCCTTCACCAATCAAAACAAGGTCAAAACTCAGAGAGGCTAGCACCGCTAGCTCAGCTGGTAAGAGGACAATTGGGAGAGGGGGCGAGAACACGCCTTCACCAATTAAAACAAGGTTAGAACTCAGAGAGGCTAGCACCACTAGCTCAACTGGTAAAAGAAGACAATTGGGAGAGGGGGCGCGAACGCTCGCCTTCACCAATGAAAACAAGGTTAGAACACAGAGAGGCTAGCACCACTAGCTCAACTGGTAAAAGAGGACAATTGGGAGAGGGGGCGCGAACGCTCGCCTTCACCAAAAACAAGGTTAGAACTCAGAGGCTAGCACCACTAGCTCAACTGGTAAAAGAGGACAATTGGGAGAGGGGGCGCGAACGCTCGCCTTCACCAATGAAAACAAGGTTAGAACTCAGAGAGGCTAGCACCACTAGCTCAACTGGTAAAAGACGACAATTGGGAGAGGGGGTGAGAACACTCGCCTTCACCAATTAAAACAAAGTGAAAACTCAGAGAGGCTAGCACCACTAGCTCAGCTGGTAAGAGGACAATTGGGAGAGGGGGTGAGAACACTCGCCTTCACCAAATAAAACAAGGCCAGAAACTCAGCTGGCTACGTAATAAACAAACTTCGGAGCACGGTCCAACCGACCACGCGGTTGGAGGCCTCCAGTAAACAAGAGCGGAGCGAACGCTACCGTTAACCAAATAGCAAAATATAAGCAAAAAACCACTACTTACCAGTGTTAAATCACACACATAGTAGTCATAAACAACGTCGGAGCACAGTCCAGCCGACCACGCGGTTGGAGGTCTCCTAACAAGCGTGAGCGGAGCGAACGCTACCGCTAACCAACGGCGAAATATAAGGAAAACTACTCACCGGTGTTGAATCACACACATAGTAGTCAGACGCTGTAAGTTGGGAGAGGCGGAAACCGCCGTAGTTCCCAACGAAACAGCAGAAATACCTTTGAACAGGGTTAAACCGTTGCAGCCCTAGGAGGGCGAACACGCTACTCCCGCAGACGGGCAGTCGGGCTTCCGACGACGGTAAAAAGTTCAGAAAAGGTCCAAAGGGCTGAAGCCCTGAATTGAACCGCGCGCGAGAAGAAAATAGGAGCAGAGCAGCGGATGACGTCGGGCTATATAGCCTCTGATTGGTCATCCGTGTCACACCTGTGACTCCGTTGGTATTATTACTCGAATCAGCGCATGCGCGAAGGGAACATTCAGTGCTTTCAGCACCGCCCTCTGGCGGTCAGGAGGGATGAAATAGAACTGAGTTTGCTGCAGCTCCTCAAACTGAAGACGACTTTTTGATAAAAGACAAAACGTTTCAACTATTTTTTTTTTTAACCATCCAGAGGACCTGACTTAACTTTGTTAGATTTTTCTACCTGGATTAGCATGCATCAGAATAGTACCGCATTTATTTTTATAAGTTATGCTCAAAACATGCACTGACAGACGGAGGTTATTTTCAGTTTCCCCTCCTCGCTCAACAACGAACAACCTCAGAATGCTGACAGAACCCAGATTTGTTAGATCTGACACCACATTTTACAGTAAATTCCATTTTTGATGTTTAATTCTGTGATTCTCTACATTTACTGCAATACGAAAACTACAGGGCTTTATTAGAAACACAAACTAAAATCATCTCTTTAAGTCATTAAGAACAAACAAACGTATTTGGTCCAAAAGGTTTAACTTCTGAATGGATGGATGCTTTGAGCAAAATAAAACCTGCAGGAGAACTTTTTAATGTGAGCAAACTAAAGGAGTGGAGAAACAAACCAGGTGGGCCGCACCTTTATCTGTGATCCAACACAGGGCCTGGATGAGTGCGTACATACTCTTGAGACATCTCTTAAAGACAAGCTGTGTTACCTGGAAGTGGCTGCGGATGTTTGTTTTGTAACAGATCACCCACCTGGTACTGTTGAGGCTGGACTGAAGGTGGCGGCGGCAGGATTCAGTGAAGCGATAGAGGTGAAGGTGGGGCTGGAGGAGGGCAAGAGAGGGACTGTGGGCAGGCCTGGAGGAGAGGGAGGCATCGGACATTAGAAACAAATTATGTGAGAGAAAATATGTGCAGATGGAGCTTTTGCAACAGAGAATCACAGAGTTGCATGTCTGGCTACTAATGGAAGAAAAGTGACACCTGTCTGCAGCTCACTGGGCATGGGGGGCAGGGCCGAGCTGATTGACAGACCGGACAGTGAATCTTCGAGGCCAGAGACCGCGGGTGCAGGAGGAGGGGGAATGACAGCTGAAAGCTGGACCTGAAGAGTTTAAAATACATGGATGATGGAAAAAATATTCACTTTAAAAAAGCAAGCGTAGCATTCAACTACGAAGCTCAAAATGCAACTACAGGTAAAAACTCATTTTTCTGAATGACCATTGTCTGTGCAGCCTGAAGAACCCCGTTAGTGTGAATTCTCCATGAGCACTGATGAGTCCTAACCTCAGTAAATCCATCCTTGAGCGGAATGACAGGTTCACTGGAGGAGTTTGCAGAGAAGCTGATCTTCTTCCCCTCTTCAAAAGGTCGGGTGGGAATTCTGTGGAGGTATCCATAGCCAATCCCACATCCAAAGCTGGGAAGAATAAACTTCAAGTTACGATAACTGGAAATGTTAATGTGTTTAAATTGAATACAACAGCTCTAAAGTGTGAGCTTTATTCAAATTGGTTTAGGTCTAGGCGATACCTGCCGTCCCCCCCCCAGGCATTGTTGGGCGTGATGACCACTTCCCTGCAGTTGTCGGTGTCTGTGTTGTACACGTAGAGCTTCAGGCCCTTTCCCTCGTGGCTCTCTATCAGAGAGAATAAGTCCTCTGACTGGAGTGGCAGAGACACAAGTTAGAACACAGCTGCTAAAATCGAAACAAAGCTAAAGACAGAAAACAGGGCCAAGAACTTGAGGCACCGATAGCCCACCTCATTCATGACGGTGTCAGCTCCAATGATGTAGTCTGTGTGAGGCCGCAGACCAGCGAGGGCCGCAGGGGAGTTTGGCTCCACTTCCTGCTCCAAAGAGAAAACAGACTTTTGTGTTGTGTCATGAATGGACAATAAAACACAGATGGGCCCCTGTGGCTGCCTACCAGCACATGCCAAACATTTTCATTGGCTCCTTCAAAGCTGCAGAAGCGAATCGAGACGCCGAGCAAGCCTTGGCCCCCCCACAAGTTGCTGGGAGTCACCGTGGTCTCACGCAGCTCCAGAGTCTTGGATGAGTAGACCAGCATCTTAACTGGTTTTTCCACGCTGGCTTTGAGCAGGTCCTTCAATGTGTCGTTGTCCTTGTTCTGCGGTCATCAGGATGAGGGGGAAAGACAGGCAGAGGAGTTGGACATGGCTCAAAATCTGTCCTACATGATGTTCTCCGTTTGATCTCTTACCAGTCTGGTGTTGTTGATGGAGACGATGAAGTCAAAGAACGGTTCCAGGCCTGCCCGATGTCCAGGTGAGTTCTCTTGGACCTGCACCAGAGACAAGGGACAAACTGAGATCCTTCAAACCTTTTATGTTAATGTCAATAAAACAAGGTGACAAAAAAGTTAGTGAGAAATAAGCTTGATACCCAAGAACTTATTAGGTCATAATTTAATTCATTTCAATTCAAATATACTTTATTAATCCCAAAAGGAAATTATTTGTTGTTGTAACTCCATCTTTACCCGCTTCTTCCATTTTGGGTCACGGGGGTCATCTATGCCCATGTCCAGCAATCATTGTGCGAGGGGCGGGGTACACCCTGGAGGGGTCGCAAGTCCATCACAGGGCCACATAGAGACAAACGAGACAAACAAACATTCACTCTCTCACTCACACCTAGGGACAATTTAGTTACCAATCAGCCTAACATGCATGTTTTTGTCTGTGGGAGGAAACCGGAGTACCCGGAGAAAACCCACGCATGCACGGAGAGAACATGCAAACTCCACCCAGAAAGGCCCCTGGACCGGGGTTTGAACCAAGGACCTGCTCGCTGAGAGGCAGCAGCTCTACCAGTTGCGCCACCGTGCTGCCTGTTGTTGTAACTCGTTATCCTCATTTCATTAAGAGATGTTATAGATACTGATGGCTGTAGGATCTCTTGTAAAGGTCCATTCCACAGTGGATCCTAAGAAACTGCCTGCAGATGCCGTCCGATCCGTCCACCTAGATTCGGCTGGCCTCTCGGTTCCCCCGGTTTGTAAGATCGCCCGAATGCCGGGCAGAACTCCTCCCAGAACGATGGCCACTCCTCCCAGCAGTCTGCCAAGCTCCTCGTCGCTGTGGACAGCCAACTGTAGGTGCCGAGGGACGATCCTGTCCTTCCACTGTCATGAGCTGTTTTTCCTCCTAGTTCCAGGATCTCAGTGGTCAGGCACTTGAGCACAGCTGGCAGGTAGATGAGAATGCATCCTCAGAACATCCTTTTCAACTCATTTGAGATTTGGGGCTGTAGTTGAGATATTATATGAGCCTTTGAGATGTTAATATGCTGCTGTTGGTTGTAGAAAACTGCCTTGTTGCCATGGTTACGCATCATAACAAATGTCCAAAACTATAAAAGTTTCAGTAAAAATCCTTCCAGCTGCACAGCATCTGATACCAGAGGAAACAATCATCCAAAACACATGATTTACATCCAGAAATGGAGGAATTAAAGTTTCCAAAAGCAAAATCTCAGAATGAAAGTAAGAGCTGCTCCATCCTGCAGCCACCTTGAGTGGCGCAATAATATTAGATTAAAAAGATATATGTCATCGGATCCGGGTCACGGCACCAACTGTTAAAGATGGGAGCTGGCTGCGGGCCACCGGATCCTGAAACCCCCTGCAGCCCACAACCCTGGCTCGAACCTTCCTCTGAAGTGGCAACTATACTAATCAATAAATCAAAGAAACGTCAATTAAGTTTTATTAAATTATATTAGAAAAGGCAGTAAAAAATTACAATTCACAGCGCTGGACTCTATTCAGTCTGTGACGCCACAGACACGGAAAAAGAGCCCCGATGTCTCGTGTCATTATTAATTTATAAGGCCCTAGACTCCGCTTTTCGCAGAAGGGGGAGCTCAACCTGTCAGTGTATGAGGGGGCGTGTCTAAGTGTGATCTCAGGGATCTTATGTGTACTGACGTGTTAGGAAAAATATGAGACGGTGCTTCAAAGCCTTCCTATGTGATGTGGCAAGCAGATTAAAACTATTTGACTGATATTGAAATCCCAGGGAGACTCTCTTGAGAGCTGCTGGCCCAGTTTAACCCAGTCAGAACCGGGTCATAATTTCATTATATTCCCGTCTCTGAGCAGATCAAATCCATAGGACCAGTCTAAATAAGAAATATATACACAAGATAAAAGATATAAAGATTCACAAATCTAGTGGACCAGACACAACAGCTGAAGAATTAACCAAAACAACTCTAACTGGCTGGTTGTTAATTAATATTAGCTTTATGCTCCAGTTAAAATAACCTCTGTTGTTTTTAATCCAGCAGGAGATTCTAAAAGCAGCACCAGTTTCAGGTGGAGCTTCTGAAAATGATAATAAACATGAAGTCAGCTGGGCAGCTGCCATCAGCACAAACTGATGCTTCAGCTTCTGAGGAGGCTACTTTATTAGCTTAAAAACATACACCCACAAAGAAAGCTTAAATTGCATGCAGCACATAAAATACTCTAAAGTCCACGGCTTTCCCCTGACACGGTTGTGTTCAACCATACGGAGGCCGCAGAAGTCATCCCCGGCCTCTGCTCAACTCTGAACCGGGAAGCTTCCGCGTCCCACCGGATGCTAAGCTAACAACAGCTATAGGAGCTCCACACTCACCCGCAGGACGTGGTAGCCCTCCGAGCCTCCTCCCGGTATCTCCACGCTCTGCGCACCTCCCATGGTTCGACTGTTCAGGGAGTTTTTAAGAGTCTTGACTGAATTATTCCCTCCCGGCGGAGGCGAACACTTTCACACAAAGACTCAATACACGTCGCCAAATGACTGTGGCTGCGGTGCGCATGCGCTGTTACGTGGCAGGAAGGAACCCGAGCCGTGACGTCAGAAACACTGTCAATGTCAGCGCAGCACTGAAAAACTTTAGTCCACGCGGTCAATGCTGTATCTAGTGTTTATATTTATGGGAAGGAACGTCTTTTTTTTTTGGTTTGTTTATATAGCCCTTTTTCACGCTTCCGCGTTTTAGAGCCGATGTGGCGTTCAACAACTTCCGGTTCATGGCAGGTTCTTAAAGACACCACAATCTTTTTTTTTTTTTTTTTTTTGAACAATTGAACCAGGGCTCTGGACCCACTTACACAACCAGCCCGCTCGCTCTTGCGCTGTTGGCAACTTCTCTGCTGCTCTGAAGTCCAGGTCCAGCCATATGGAAACCATTATGTCTCATAAATTAAATTAAAATGGATTAATAGAATTACTTTTTCATTTCAAAGTCAAGCTGCATTTTTTGACTCATAAATAAAATTAATAATTCAAACTGCATTTTCATTTTCTTCTACAAGACTGCACATTGTGTAAATTAATTAAAATGATAAATAAAATAACGTTTAACATTTAATTTTCAAAATATGTCCCAGTAAAAAGTGACCAAAATTAATTTTGAAATGTCAAATTTGAAAATTAAAATGAAATAGCAGAAATGCTTTTTCATTTCAAAGTTGAGCTGCATTTTTTGACTCATAAATAAAATTAAAAATAAATAATTTTCATTTTCTTCTTCAAGACTGCTCATTGTGTAAATTAATTAAAATGTTAAATAAAACAACGTTTAACATTTAATTTTCAAAATATATCCCAATAAAAAGTGACCAAATTTAATTTGGGGGAGTGGTGGCGCAGAGGCTAGAGAGGTGGGCTTGTGATCCGAAGATCGCCGGTTCACGCCCCGGCCCCGACAACATCAAAATTGTGGGTAGGGTAGGTGAAACACCCACACTTGCCCCCACCCTCATTCGCCCCACCCTGGGCCCATGAGCAAGGCCCCCAACCCCCACCATGTGCTCCCTAAAACAGGTCTCTCTTGAAAATGAGTTCTCGTGGCTCAATGAGACTAACCTGGATAAATAAAGGCTAAATGAAAAAATAGCAGAAATGCTTTTTCAATTCAAAGTCAAGATGCATTTTTTGACTCATAAATAAAATTAAAAATAAATCATTTTCATTTTCTTCTTCAAGATTGCTCATTGTGTAACACAGCTACAGAGGAAACTAACAACAAACTGCTTTTTCGTTTTCATGCCCCACCCCTTAGATATCATATAATGACTAGATACAGCATTGACCGCTATCGCCTATTGGCGATGACGAGCTGTAGGGCCGCCATCTTGAAACGGTCGACCACTCCACTCAGTGTAACCCATAGATATAAACACTAGATGCCTCAGTGGCTGCTGCGGCGCAGGATTTTCGGCCGCCATCTTGAAACGGTCGTCCTTATTTGGTTAAAGCAGATGTTTCAGCACTTCGCAGATTATTTTTGTTCAGATCGACGGACTGTTGACGTCAGGTCTCGTGGGATAACTTTTCACAAGTAAGATGAACATATTATTGTTAGTATTTTGTGAATAGAATATTACTGTACTGTATTTTTGTCCACCAGCTGATGTGATGTTCAGTGTAACACGGTGTTCAGCTGCAATGAAGCTGACTGAGATCTGATGACAGGAATATTTTTCTAACAAGCATACTCACTATTTCAGTAGCTTTGGTTCATTATCAAGAGATATGTATCATAATTGGAGTTTTGTTTAAGTTCTAGGAAATAAAAAAATAAAACTAGGGAGAATATAGGAAAAAGAAAATAAGCTTGACCTCCTCTGTACAATGTTTTTGTGTAGACACAAACCTCCTGTTTTCATTTTGAAGGTTTCCCAAAGAACAAGATGTGAGGAAGAGGAGGAAGTATCTTTGAGGAGGATTCATCTGAGCAGTGAGGATTTTAAACTGGAGGATTTTGATCAAA